ATTTATCATGACCCGGATATTGCCTATCAGTTCAACATTCTTGCATGGGTAACAGTATCACAAAGATATTATGAACAAGAAGTACTCAGTCGCCTTCTGCATTCCGTAAGAGACCTCAATCATGAATCAAGCCAAGAAAGCATAGAAAAATTAGCCGAGAATCTATATAAAAGTTTGAAGGACAAGAGGTACCTGATTGTCCTGGACGATGTGTGGGATGGAGAGATCCTGTTAAAAGTCAAAAGTTTGCTTCCACATGACAGTAATGGAAGCCGGATTTTGTTGACAACTCCAGCACTTGATGTGGCTCGGTATGCTGATCCTGATTGCTACGTTTATTCTATGAGACTTCAAACTATGGAAGAATGCTGGAATCTGCTGCAACATTTGGTGTTTGATAAAGAAAGGTGTCCTCCTGAGTTGCAGATATTAGGCAGGGAGATTGCAATTAACTGCAGTGGACTTCCACTTTCACTTGTATTGATTGGTGGTGTCCTGTACAAAGCCGAGCGGACACAAGATTACTGGATGTATGTTTCACAACATACTAGGAATGAATTTTATGACGCACTACCGACCTTTGTATATTTCTGTTACAACCAATTGCCCCATCATTTGAGAGCATGTTTTCTTTATATGGGCGTTCTACCTGAAGATTATGAGATCCGTAGATCCAAACTCATCAAGTTATGGATTGCCAATAGATTTATAAAGCCAGATAGATCGAAAAGCTTGGAGGAGGTGGCAGAGGAGTATCTAAAAGATCTTATTGATAGAAATCTGATTACGGTTCGTGAGTTGACCTATAGTGGTGAAATCAAAACCTGCAGCATCCATGATGAAGTGAGGGACTTCTGCCGGACGAAAACAAAGGAGAAGTTTAATTCGGGTGTTGAGAATCTTCCAGAAGCCCATGACAATCTTCGTCACATTAGTATTCTCACAGAATTGAAGAATCAAATACCCAAATTTGATCTTGTACACGATCGTGATTTGCGTGTCCGTTCTGTTACGTATTTTTTTCGCAATAGCCTGTATGATATACATTTTGTCAAGAGTTTTCGGCTGCTGAGGATATTGGATGCACTCACAATATGGTTTGACCAGTTTCCTGCTGAAATAGTAGAACTGGAGACTTTGAGGTTTATTGCTCTGACCTACTGGGCAAAGCATAGGATCCCTTCGTCAATATCCAAACTTCGCAATCTGGAGACGTTAATTATTAATCCAGGGAAACTCAGATCGATATTTAATACATCATTCCTACCACTGGAAATCTGGAAGATGTCACGATTGAGGCATATCTTGTTCGTGAGAAGTTTCTTGCCTTATCCTACCGATGCACTAAATGGGGGAACTATTTCGCCCTTGGAAAACCTACAAACACTTACCAATGTTATGAACTTCAGATGGACAAAGAAGGTCATTCAAATGATGCCGAACCTGAAGAAATTGGTAATTTCGTACGAGCATGATGGGCGAACTGAGTGGTCATCCTATCGTTTTGACAATTTTGTTCATCTTCTTCAACTTGAAGTTTTGAAATGCTTCTTTTTTGGGAAGTCTTATGTAAAATATCAGGTTCCTCTTCCAGTGAACTTTACTTTC